TTGAGAAGGTGCCCCTATCTCTAAGACAAATACGCTAAAACAGGGATCGAAATCACGACCGCAATCCATAGGTGGACTGACAGCTAGAGTTGCACGAAGCGCGACACTCTAGACAAGCCCATGCCGAACACCCAATGGTGGTGGATCATTCTATACACAATGATCACTTATATTCTCAACATGCATGCTTCTGCTCATGTCCGACAAAAGCATCATATTTGTTTTGTTTTTTTGTTAAAAAATACGTTGGTTTTAAAGAATTGATTTTTTTTAAAATTAGGAATGAACCTTATTCTCGTTGGTCTATTTAAAAACTTGTCAGTGGAAATTGTTGATGTATTAAAGGGACAATAACACTCTGGCTGGCTTGACAGCTCCAGAAAAGAAAGAAATAGCCTTATTCTAAGTACTAGATGTGTTAGTGTCCTACCTGTTGTGTAAATTATCCATTAAATCATATTTTACTTGTCCAGAGGGTTCAAAAATATTTTTAAATCCAAGTCACATTTTAAAAGCTTTACGTCAGGCTTTTCAAATCATTTAGTTGAATTTTTCCAATTTTTTAAATTAGGTGTGTTAAGATGAAATTTATATCACCAATTAATTGGAATATTGTAAAATAGTACAATTTGTTGACCAGAATAAAGATTGGGACATATTATTCAGTTACAACGAGAGTGGTATTGAGCCTTTAAGTAAATTGTCGTTCCTATAGTAGAAATGACGAATAAATTGTTTTACCATTTTTGTTAATTTCGACTTAGTGAAAACATTTATTTAAACTCGGCCCAGAATAGAAAAATATTTTTTTTTATTTTTCTTCAACGATTATTTTAGAAAACCAATCTTTTATTTTAAATTTCAAACTTTCAAATTGTTTTAAAAAATACCTTCTCATAATTGTATAAATTCTAGAAAAAAAATAACCTTCCAAATAATGTAAAAACTCTAGAAAAAAACTTCTTAAAAGTGTAAAAATTATATATAAAAAAACCCATCTTAATAAGTATAGAAATACTACATAAAACTTCTAAATGGTGTACAAACTCTAGGAGATATATTCTCAATAGTGTAAAAATTCCAATACTAGAAAAATGATCTTCTTTAGAGTGTAAACATTATAAAAACAAATTGCCAGTCGTGTAAAATTTCAATGCTAAATAATTTCGTTTTTCCATTATAGTGTAAACATTAAAAAACAATTTCTCAGTCGTGTCAAAATTCTACAAAATAACTTCTGAATAGTCTAAAAGCCTTAAATAAAGCTTCTCATTAGTGTACACGTTCTAGAAAAAAAATTCTCAATAGTGTAGAATTCTAAAAGAAAGGTCATGTGTTGGTAGTGTAAAAATTCTAGAAAAAACCTTCTCAATGGTGTAAACATCCTAGAAATTAGCTTTTAATAGTGTAAACATTCTAGAAAAAACAAAACCTTCTCAACAATGTACAAATTCTAGACAAAAACCGTGTAAACATTCTAAAAATTAGCTTTTGAATAGTGCAAACATTCTAAAAATAAATCTCCTTAATAACGTACAAATTCTAAATAAAACTTCTCAATATAGTGTTAAAATTCTAGAAAATAACTTCTCAATATAGTGTTGAAATTCTAGAAAATAACATCTCATTAGGGTAGAAATTCTAGAAAATAACTTCTCATTAGGGTAGAAATTCTAGAAAATAAGTTCTCAGTCCTGTACAAATCCAAGAAAATAACTTCTCATTTGTGTCAAAATTTAAGAGAAACAACTTCTCAATTGTGTAAAATTTCTGGAAAACCCATCTAAATAATATACAAATTCTGGAAAACCCCTCAAAATAGTATACAAATTCAAGAAAATAATATTGTGCGCTAAACGTTTATATTTTATCATTCTTGATACCCACAAGGAACGGATGACAAAAATTCAGTGCAAACTGTCTTGGAACGCCTATCAATACACACCGCTTCTAAATTACCTACAGAAATACAATCTAAGTTAAATATGTAAATCATTTGTTAAATAATTTTAGTTTTTGACTATATAAATCTATCTACTGTGTGTGATTATATTTATATATTTCTAATGCAATGTTTTTTCAGGATTTTCTCCTATCACCAAGTATCCATGGTGCGGACTTGCCATTTAACATCACTTCATTTCATTTTCTATCACCAAATTCTGAAATCTTTCCGCTTGTCCATGTGTATTATTAACCAATTCGCTCTTCTCTATTAAAAGGTGTGAAGTGTAACAAAGGGAGCGGTTATTATTTGCATCCGACACGCGTGTGTTTTAATACTGCTATCCCAATAATCAACCAGAGTTAAATAACCACTCCCCGGGGTAATGATGTTTGGTTTCTGGAGTCGTTATTAAGTAAACGAACCTCTGTGTTATCTATTTTACTAGCGATAGCGAATTAACAAGCAGCTCAATCGTTACTTTTCACACATTCCCTTACCATACCTTAAATTATTTTTTCATAGAAATTTGACACGACATGTTAAAAACACCGTTCTTATGATAGCAAACATTGCTTTCCTTATCTTCACCCTCTCGGGTTCTCCTCGATCAGTCCGAGTTCTGTTAATTCACTTTGTTGACATACAAGTGTTAGTTTCTGTATATTGATTCAGTATTTGCTTCAAGTCATTAGAACTAAATTCCTCACAAGCCGTCTTTAATCATGCATATTTTAATTTTTTTTTTTTTTTTAAATTTTGTATTTTATAATGGTCAATTAATTTTTCTTTAATACTAATAGTCTATAGTTAGTTAAATTCTTGGTTTAATTCAGAAGGGGGTTGGACGGTCCAGTGGTCTAACGTGTCCGCTTTAGATCATAATGGTGTGGGCTAGATCCTAAGCTTGTACGTGACATCTAGTAGGTCGCCTTCTGAACCTCGTGGGTTTTCTTCTGAACCTCGTGGGTTTTCTTCTGGTCCTTTAAGTTCCTCCAACTGCTAATGACCAATACGATCAAATGAAATTGTACCATACGTTAGTCCCTAAATGGGCGCGGGGCGAATTGTTAACGCGTGCGCGTTGCATTATAAGGTCTGTCATTGGGTCAAGTAGCGTGGTGTCGATTACCCGCTTGTACGTGACAAGGAGTAGGGTCGCCTGTCCAACCTCGTGGGTTTTCTCCGGATCCTCCGGTTTCCTCCTACTGCTAAAAACCTCTGCTCACAAGCGAATTATTGAAATGAAATTGAACTATATGTTAGTCTCCAAATGACCTAGATTGTGTCGCGTGGGCGTTAAACCCCACACACCTCTCTCCCCAACTCTCTTCCTTCCATTCGTGTGCAGTAATTACAAACGGTACACGGTTAATATTAGTACGATAGGTTCAGATCACTTCCGCTGTACGTAGAACTCATACAACTGAATTATTTCTATAACGCTCATAATGCTCGGTTTCATTGGTCGTCAATATAAATAACTAGCGGGTAACTCGGTGCAGCTCAGGTGGAGGCAGACCACCATTAATTTCTCCATTGACTTCAATGTTAATTCTGGCCTCTTTGCCCACCTCCAACTTTTCCCAAAATTTTCGTTGGGCTGAATGCTTTTCACTACAGACAGAGGAACAAATGGTCATGTCTTTGCACTTAAATTTGTATGAAGTTGACCACCAAAATTTTGAGATACACAAACTTGAAGAAGCATACTAAAAACATGTAACTAGTTGCCGTACATATCGCCGTAGCCAACCTGATAACCCCGTTATCCTTCCGCCTCAAAATCATTAATATTTACCAAAACTTGGCGGAAAATGTTAATTCAACCCCTCTTCGTCCATTCTAGACCAAAAATCAACAAAATGGGCATGTAAAAGAGGAGGAAAGAGAGAGAGAGAATTGCTATAAATAGACGATGGTGAAATTTAATGGTGGTCTGCCTCCAGGTTGTGCCCGCAACTCCGAAACCGGAAGCGGTAGGCCCACTACACCTAGCCTATGTCACTCCCTGGTCCCAGCTACCCCTATATACCAAATGTCGGTCTCGGGACAGACCTAGTGTATCCGCCAACCCTAAACAGACAGACAGACAGACAAACGACAGTCACGTATAGATATTTAAGATCGCTATCACAGTAAATTTATTAAACATTTTTCTTGACGTACATATTTTACAATTTAAAGAATAAAATTATTTTTACAAAATATATACATATTTACATATCAAATGAACCAATCGAAGATAGCACATTCCACACCACAGAGAAAGCACAGATTCCGGAATCGCTGCAAACATTTCAAATCACGGTAACTTTAATGCATTAACTCTGTAGTAATTCACAACTAAGACGAAATCTAATCTCAATTAATAAAAATAATAAAAATGTATTCAAACTTCCTATCCATTATGATGAAGCACTGTTAAATCTTAAGTAATTGTTCCATGGTGGCCAGTGTCCCGTTGTAGATTCCGGCCCCTGCTGTTGGCCAGTGTGCCGTGGTAGATCGCAGCCCCTTCTGTTGGCCAGTGTGCCGTGGTAGATCGTAGCAACTGTTGTTGTCCAGTTTCACGTTGTAGATCGTGGCCCCTGTCTTGGGGTAAACCTCGCCCGCTACTGGCCATCGGACCCTCATCGTGGCCAGTGTTTCGTGGTAAGCGTTGGCTTCTGCTGGTTGCCAGTGTCTCGTGGTAAACCGCTACTGGTGGCCAGTGTCTCGTGGTAAACCTCGGCATATGCATGTGTCCAGTGTCACGTGGTCGATCGCGGTCAGTGCTGATGGCCAGTATCCAGTGGTACATATAGCTCCCTGCAGGTGCCAGTATCCGGTGGTAAGCTTCGGCTTCCTATGGAGGCATCGACAGGCAGCCACTGTAGCTTGGTGTAAGCCTTGGCGTCTGTAATCCAAGTACATTTAAACCTATCAGAAGTTCCATTTAATCATTCGTGTTGAAGTACGATATCCTAAAACTTTCTAGAACATCAATTCACATATTTATTATACTATAAGAATAGCCATCAATATCCCCCAGGTAACTACTATCAGTGCCACAACCATCTGCTACCACCTTTCAATTGTCTCGGACATCCACAAAGTTAATGAATTTCGTTCTTTAGAATTCACAAAAACATGTTATGTCATAAATAGATATTAAAATTATATGAACTATTGAGGTAAATGTGACGTCATATGATATTTCAGTTCAAATGGTAGGCTGAATGATTTTCCACACACATTGCACGTACATGGACGCTCTTTCACATGCGTCCTTCTCACGTGACTGTCATGAGCCGCGTGTGACGCAAAGGCTTTTCCACAATGTTTACACTGAAAATAACCCAAAAGATGAGATTTAGTACAAGAGGGGCTAATATTCATTGATTTAATTGAAAAAATCTGGCGCCAATTTCAGAAAGCATTCTCAGATTTAAGTTAAAAATTTACTCAAAACTGTTCACCTTATTTTAACTAAAATATAGCCCTGTATAAAACTGTTTTAATGTATCAAATGCATCAATAAGAAACTATGTGCAAAGTTTTGTGTTTCTAGATCAAAGATATTTCTCCTAAACAGTGATTGAAAGTTGAGTAAATTCCTAACTTAAATCTGAGAAGGCTTTGTGAACTTGGGGCCTGCATTAATACAACAAAAAATAAAATGGCGTTTAACGTTCTACTTGTGTGCCCCGTCTGGGCTAATGAAGACGTAAGCGTCTATGGCGCTATACAGTCCCCTAGACCAGTGATTCTCAACCAGTAGCCGCGAAATCTTCCTAAATGGGCCGCGAAATTTTGAACGGCACGCTAAGACAATTTCTCACTAAAAATGCCAGCTATTTGATGAAACTCGAAACACTGCAAAAAAGTAAGTTCATAGCTGTGTTTTTCTTGATAGTTAGTTTGAGTCATTCTGTGTTTTTCTTGATAGTTAGTTTGAGTCATTCTATGTGTCTATGACTAGTCTGTATCTACGGTTGTATGCCGTCTATGAATTGCCATGTTTTTATTTTGCAAAATATATTTCATATATATATATAGCCAGGTGTGCCGCTATATTTTCATAAGTTCCAATGTGTGCCGTTGGCATAAAAAGGTTGAGAACCACTGCCCTAGACTGATAAAATATAAATTTGAATATCTGTATAATAATTGATACCTTGAATGGTTTTTCACCAGAATGTTGCCTGATGTGCGTTCTGAGAATGCTGGAAGCGGTAAATGCTTTATTACAATACACGCATTTATACGGTCGTTCACCGCTGTGGACCTGCAACAAAATAAATAAAATAATATATATTGTTCAATGTGAAACATCTCTCCGTTTATTATTAATAGAGTAAAAATAGGATCACCGTCACCACCCTACATATTTCATCAATACAAACACATTTTATTGTATACATATTAAACATACATTATACAAGAGCTAAATCTGCCTATTGCAGGTCTTTCTTTGGGCCTGAAATGTTAGTCCCTATCTAAATTATTATTTAGACATTTATTAACATGAAAGGACCTTAATCAATTATTGATGCCATCTTATGTGTCGTATTTTCACTGGATTTGTATCCGATTTGCTGCTCAACGCGCCTTGATGATTAAATCCTAAAATTCAAACGCTAATATTTCGGTTCAGAGTGGAGCAATTTGATTGAAATTTTCAGAAAATTCCCTTTACATTATCTAGTTTTTAACTTTGATATTGAGAATGTCAGCTTTTTATCTAATCGTCCACAATGCCCTTTTGATATTGATGTCAACTGGAAACAAACTATGCCATTTCAATTTCAATAATTCGCAATAGTAGGGGTCTTTAGCAGTGGGGGTAGGGGGCGGGGGACCCGCAGAAAACCCACGAAGTTAGACAGGCGACCCTACTGTGTACTCGATGACAGACCTTTCGATAAACCCCCACCCACTCCTGGGTAAAATACCAGAATTCAGCGTAGACAAAATCAGAAATATAAAAAAAAAACAACAAAAGAACAACATAATATCTTGGAAGATCTTTAAGAATTAAAAGGCATTAATATTCGAGTCGTGTGTCGGTTAACTTGTCTTTGTACAAGTAAAACAAGATGAGTATTTTAACTATTTACAGTAAAACAACTTGAAGAATAAATAAAGAAAGTTGTCGGTTACTTTCGAGGACTTTAAACTAAAGAACGAGTGTTTTAGGAAAAGTTCATGTATATTGAATTTTAGGCTGAGTGGTGAGAATTGGGAGGACACGACAACTAGAGACATTCTAACAACCGGCTTGTATTACATCACCTAACATCGTCTAAAAAAATAAATAAAAAATAAAATAAATTAAAACCAACTAAAAAAATTGAAATAAATTGAAACTACCTAAAAAAATTCAAATAAATTGAATCTAATAAATTCATATAAATTGACAATAAATAAAAATTCAAATAAATTGAAACCAAGTAAAAAATTCAAATACATTGAAACCAAGTAAAAAATTCAAATACATTGAAGCCAACTAAAAAATTCAAATAAATTGAAACTATCTAAAAATCAAATAAATTGAAACCAACCAAAAATTTCAAATAAATTGAAATTATATAAAAAAAATTCAAATAAATTGAAATTAAATAAATTTTTCAAATAAATTGAAACTACCTAAAATTTAAAAAAATTAAAACCAACTAGCTTCAAATGAATGAAAACCTAAACAAAAAAGAGTATTTTTAACCTTAATGTTCAAGATGGCGTTCATTATTCAAAACATTGTCTTTAATGAATGAAGAATTAAATAAATAGCAAAATCATATTTTTTTTCCTGTGTGATTTACAGTATGTTTGTAACATTTCAAATTTGGAATTTCATTTTTAAATATTAGATTTCGTATTTTTCATACACACGCCTCAATTAAAAATACAGAGATGCCACACACTTAATTAATTCTCACTTAGAAGCCACTTTAAGATTATGGTGCTAGATTTGGCTAAATTCCTGAATTTTTTATTACAATTTTATTTCCTCAACATGTTCAGACCTATTTGCCCTTGGTCCGGATTGTTAGTTGAAGTAAGGGTCTGTAGTATTTTTAAAAAAAAAATAAATGAGAAGATTTTGTTTGACACATTGTACCACGCTAACCTGGGTATAACACGCCGAGTACTTCACATACACAGAAACATTCCGTACATGTGATACCCTTTAATTAGTCAGGGTATCAGTTTAAAGTGTTACATTTGAAAGTGATGCAAACAGCTCTATTGTACAGCAAGAATTGAAGGATTAAATAAACGCCACGGACCACCCGGTAATAATCGCACCCCCCGTAAAATCAACGCTAGGAAATAAACCACGACATTATCACCCAGTAAATATTTTCTTCCTAAATTGGATTAACAATAGTGTGAATACGTTAGGGGACACAGTTGTGATATGCTAGGACTACTAAAATCATCCCTTGTGTTGACATTGCGTGAAGACCGTGTTGATATATTATTCTATCAGTATCTACAAGAAAAGATGAGGGTCTAAGCGCATCACCTTTGTGAGAGCCCTAATAATGATAATATCGTCAATTGGATCCAAGCGATAATAATAGGGAAAGGTATTACAGGGTGATAATGAAAATACACCCAGGTCATACCAGGCTCGTTAAGACACTCAGGTGCGTGAAATTTGACTCCTATTTGAATTCACGCGGCCCTCACGCGCTGTGCTCGTGTTGACATAACGTCATCAAGTATGGTATATGTATGAAGTATATTGTTAACAAGCTGTGCGACAATCATTAAGATGTTTTTGCATCCAATTTTCACTTTATATTCTCTATTTTTGTTTGGTTAATTTTGTTATCTTAATTCAGTGGCTGATATTTAACTAGTTTTCAATTCAATCGTCGTATAGAAAGAGTAAGTGTGCTTTTTTAAAATATTCAGTATCATGAATGAAGTGGCGTCACTTGGTGCAGTAATTTTAAGTTGTGAAAGTGACATTATACTGTGGGTTTTTGGACATTTAAAGCCCTCGAATGGTCCACTACATACTTTCCTTGTTTAGATTTAACAAACACGACATGAAAAGCGCTCGATACATATTAATTCAAACCATTAAAAATGAATTATGTAAGAGCTAAATCTTCCTATTGCAAGTCTTTTTTTTTTGACTTCAAATGTTAGAATTATTCAGACATTTATTCACACGGCAAACCTATAATCGACTCTCTAGATCATCGGATGACAGAGATTTAAACGGATTGAAACACGGTCCTCATATAATGATTTACTTTAAAAATGGTGAATCGAGGCTTAGTCTCGAATAACAAGTACAGCTGTCTCTGTCTAGCTGTCTCGATGTCTCTCGGTCTCCTGCTGTATGTCTGTCACTAACCCTGTCCCTTTGTCTCTCTGTGTCTCTCTCCCCTTCTTCCCCCCCCCCCTCTCTCTCTGTCTCAATAAGATTACTCGTACTAACTGTGTTTATTGAGGTGATATGAATTACATTACTTACCTGCATGTGTTTATTGAGGTGATATGAATTACATTACTTACCCGCATGTGTTTATTGAATATATGAATAACTTTCCTTACCCGCATGTGTTTACTGAGGTGATATGAATAACTTTACTCACCCGCATGTGTTTATTGAGACTTGAAGATTGACTGAAACTCTTCCCACAGACCAGACATTTATGTGGACGATGTTTTTCATGTACGTGCAATATGTGTATTCTTAATCTGTCCCGTTTCTCAAAAGATCTGAAATGATTAAAATTGATTATAAAACTCGGGAATAGGGAGCACGAAAAGTGTATTAGAGGTTCAAGAAATAGTAAGCATATACAGTCGCGTATAAGACATCTACAGTTTTGACTCAGTGATAGATAACGCATTGGGGTTTAATATCCACTTGGCACTAACCAGGTTATTTCGAGAAATCTTATGATCTTACAGCGCACGCTATCCAGCTCCCGCGACCGACAAAGCTCTTTTTTAATCATGGTATATTATTCTGTAAAGTTAGAGGGGATATATACGATTTATTTTACAAATGCAATTGCCGATTTCATTAAATGTCTGTGTGTTGGAGGGGGGGGGGGTACGAGATGGGAATTTGTCAACATTTCGAGATTTTGATTATTATCGAACCAACGGTAGTCATGATGATCGAGCCCAGTCTAAAATTGAATCGTTAATATTTCGGTTCAGAGTGCTGCAATTTGACTGAAATTTTCATCATATTCTGTTTTCATTATCTACTTTTTAACTATTATAGCGAGAATAAAAAAAATATCACAGATGCATTATGTAAGAGCTAAATCTGCCTATTGCAGTTTTTTTTCTGGCTGCAAATGTTATATAAACTATTATTTAGACATTCATTCGTTTATTATTGTAGCAATGCTCATTGGGACTATGCTATTTCTTAGCAAATCTTGTCAAATCTTCAAACATACATAACTTTGCTCCGAATAAAGTAATTTGAATGAAATTTTCAATATTCATTTTTCATTAACTATTTATGATAACGAGAATAATCAGATCTTTATTTAAATCAATCTGATTACAACACAGATCCTATTTCGTTTCGTTTTTTTTTAGTTCAAAATTTCGTTTTACTTGTCCTTACTACACTAAACGGTCTGTTAAGGCGAGCTTTAGGTGTGTTTTGCACGGAACTGTGGGGAATCCACTAGTAACATCAATGCTGATTGGTTAATCAAATGTCTAACGTCATAGGTCAAACGCCACATGTATGACCCCTGACGCGACCTATCGCTAGAACCGGTCAGATCTTTATGTAGTGTAGGCCATCGAAAGTATAAAAAAACGAAACGAAATATAGATCTGTATTTTAATCAGATTGAGATGTGAACATTATTATTTTATCAGATCCTTATTTAAATCGGACATAATTCATTTTGAGTATAAAATGAAATAAATCATCAACTTACCTGGAACAGAGATGACACGGGTATTTACGATCACCTTGATCAACACACCTGGTGTATTTTAAATGTTTATCCCGGTAATATTTGTAAGCGAAACATTTACCACATCTTTCGCAGCTGAAGCCCTCACTGGCTAAACAGGGAACATCCATCCAAACAAAAATAAAAATGGACAAAAAAATATATGAGAATAGGTGAAGAAATACAAAAGTTTATTAATATCTATCGTTGCTGAAATATTTACTCCTACTTTCAGCTGTGTTTGTATCAAAGATCTGCCGATCATAAGAGAGAGAGAGAGAGAGAGAGAGAGAGAGAGAGAGGGAAGTAACGGTCCACTCGACACAGACTAGGTCATTTCGGGACCAACACACGGTTCAATTTTATTTCAATAATTCGCTTGCGCGTAGGGGTCTTTAGTAGTGGGAGGAATCAGGAGGACCCGGAGAAAACCCACAAGGTTGAACAGGCAACCCTACTCCTTGTCAGTTTTTGTATAAATCTCAGTTTTATTTTTAATAACTATTATTATATTTAAAGGTCATTATGGGAGAATAGATATAGAGTTGACAGTTCTCGCTATAATAGTTAAAAAAAAGAATATGCTGAAATTTCAGTCAAAAACCTCCACTCTGAACCGAGATATTAGCTTTTTAATTTTAGGATAACATCGGTCATCATTATGCTAAAATCGGTACGATGAAAAACAAAGCCTCGATTATCCATTTTAACGTTTAATTATATTTCCAAAAATGTATTCCAAATCGCTAAATATTGCAGCAATGACATCGGGAGTTGATTATGGTCTGGATAAGTTAACTAATATCTAATTGATAATTTAGATAACATTTCAGGCCTAAAGAAAGACCTGCAATAGGCAGATTTAGCTCTTGCATAATGTATGTTTAATAAACATGCACCACGGACCGTTTAAGTACGCTTCGTTGTTGGAAAAGAAAATGGACAAACACTAAACCCAAATTATTTCTGGTGCTGTAAAATATATACTATCTTTGATATTGTCAAAAATTGAATTATCCCAATCTGATTAAAACACAGATCCTATATCGTTTCGTTTTTTATAGTTCAAAATTTCGTATTTTTACTTGTCTCCCCAACACTAGGATCTAGAAGAGTTGTTATATAACAGGCGTTCTGGATGATGTAAGGGATAAATCAATGAAACGTTCTGTTACGGCGAGTTCTTGGCGTTCTCTGCACAGAACTGTCGGTGAACCCTTAGAAACGTCAACCCTGACTGATTAATGAATGTCTGATGTCAGAGGGTCAAAAACCTCTCGCACGACCCCTGACACGACCTCCCAGTACAACCAGTCAGATATTCATGTGGTGTAGGCCATCAAAAGTATAAAAAAAAACGAAACGAAATATAGATCTGAATTTTAATCTGATTCCAATTATCCACAATTCTGTCAATTTTGTCAAATTTTATGATTTGTAAAATATGCATATGTCTGACGCTATTGGCCCCAAAATGCCCTTGTCGGTAGGACAGAAATATCAAAATGTACTCACTGTCGGCTTCCTCCTGAGCACCGCCATCTGCCATTTCTTTAAGGGCTACAGGAACGCCCATAAACTGTAAATAACAATCTCCATACCAGACTAGTAACTCGCTACCCTGGGGTATATCTTTACACACTTCGTAATAAATCTCTCCCTCGTGTTGTACTGCTATCAGGTTCTGTTCCTGGGCATAACGAGCACAATTAACACACGACATCCAACCACCTGTACTACCTCGACCATCAATAAAATGACTTAATTTACCTTCCTGAAATACCTGTAAAAATGTCGAGAATTATGGAAGATTAGACAAAGGGATGGCAATTCTCACTATAGTATTTCAAAACTAGATAATGTAAAGGGAATATGCCAGAATTGTCCGTCAAATTGCTCCACTCTGAACCGAGATATGAGCTGCAATAGGCTGATTTAGCTCTTGCATATTGTGTGTTTAACAAACGTCTAGGAAACATCTACCATAAATAACACGACTTAATTTATCCTCTCGGAATACCTTTAACAAAATATTGTAAACATATTACGAAAAGTTTTGGAATAATATCGGAAACATTTCTGTTGGTTTCTGAAACCCGTATAACCCCAATGGTATCCAATGGTAACGTATGCGATCAGGAAGGAACTTATAAAAGCTTACACACGTACTCATGGTGGAATTTGAACACTGAACTTTTTTTTATGACTGTTCACTTACCTCCCACATAAATGAATTATCATCGTTGGTTTTAACTTCACTAGTATTGACAACTCGACCTTTAAATGGACCGTATCTGGTACCTTTAGCTATAACAGTTTTAGAACAGAAAACACCACAGTGAATGGTGCCAGCAAATCCAGTCTGATGTATCGCTATTCCTGTAGAAATAAAAAATTTATATTGGTATCAAGTAGGCTAATTGGTCTTTATGTTATGACATGGGATCTCATCTTTTGCGTCTACGAACCTCGAATAGAACAGTGGGATGTTAAACCCATTTATTTCAAGGGCGTTTCTTTGGTCAATATCGCCCAAAGTATAGCCAAATGTGATGGACAACGAAAGATATGTTGTACACATTCTACCTAAAGTATTACAAAGGTGACTGGCAAGGTAAGATGTGTTATAGATACGCTCATTCTATCCACCCATCATATCCAAAATTTAAATGGTTTCATAAACCACAGACAAAATTATGGATTATTAATGACCCTTGTCTTTGCGGTCGAGATATTTCAATACTGTTTCACTTGCCTACCAGCTTGACAACCCACGTCTTTCTAGTCAATCGTATGGAACATCAAAAAACAACGTCCCGTGAACAACTGGACCTTACAATTTGAAAACGATAACCCGTGTACAACTGAATCTTGACAATCTGAAATCGAAACCTGTGTCCAGGCGAAATCGACCCTCCCTTGCAATGCAGGAATGAGGGAAATGGGGTTTTACGTCTCTGGTGTACTTTTCTGTTTTAACAGGACAAAAGATGACGGACACATGCAATGCACACAGAATTAAAGAAATTAAAAATTAGGTTACGATAATTGTCTGGACATATTGGGAAATATCGTGATGGCTAGACGGTAATAGCGGGTGCTAAAAGGACGGAGAGCTGGGATTAATATCCTTTACAATATTTAAATTATATATTTCTATAGAAAAAGCTCGGAAAGTACAAAAGCAAAGGTCGGGTATAATGTACCAATACTAAACAAGGTATATATGGATATATTCATATATACCTTGTGTTTTGTTATGAAAAACAATCTAACATTTCTAGAAAGCATTTTCCGTTTTTAATAACCATCCGAAGGACTAGATACTGTTCCTTGCCAGACCCTCCGTCCTGCACTACTAGCAAAATGGTACTACGCTGAAACGATTCGAGAACATTCCTCGGGCAACACCGGGATGAAAACAAGGATTCCTGGTTAGTTTCCCAGCGCGGTCATCACTGAGTCACAGTGCAACCCCTCCCCCACCCCAACCCACCAACTCATCAATAGTGTACATGTACCTTTAACATGTATTTTACCTGCACGTGTTGCGCTACTAACAAAATGCTACTACAATGAAACGTCTCGAGAACATTCCTCGGTCAACACTGGGATGAAACCAAGGATTTCTGGTTAGTTTCCCAGCGCGGTTATCACTGAGCCACAGTGCAGCTCCTCCCCCACCCCAAACCCACCAACTTGACCATGGTGTACATATACCTTTAACATGTGTTCTACCTGCACCGTGTTGCATGATTCACCTGTAATACATGGTGACGTGGAGGAAAGATCAAGTGTTGACACATTCCCGTGCCAACAATCGAAATAAGTTCAACAGGTATAATGCACATGTTCTCTTTGATGTTACCGCTGATTAGTATCAGGTGCTCGTATCTTAATAATCTACCTGTTAACTATAATTAAGGTAAAGAATAGCCAATTACTGTATTCACAGATCTCAAGTCGTCTGCACTACACGTTTAGTCTAAGATGAGTTTTGGGGGGTCTTTTTTATTTACCGCACAGATTCTTTCACATCAGCGAAAAAGATAATAATTAACCAGATGTAATAAAATGAAATGGGTGTTAACATCCTAGTGTTCTGCTCCGACTGGGTTAAATGCAATTGGCTCAAACATTATTTTATGTTCAACTGACTAAGAAAATAGCCTCGTGTCACTTTAACGACTTTTTCTACAAATTGTATTTCAAAGAACACTATAAAACCAAAAATCATACCATCTTTCTTTTCAATTTATGTATGTAAATTTGCTCCTCAACCAAGACAAAAATATGTTCTCTAGAACATCACCCAACCCAATAAAAGTTGTCCATAACATAACCCAGTTCAATAATAGTTCTCTAGAACACCACCCAGTTCAATAAAAGGTCCTCTAAAACACCACCCAGCACAATGAAAGTTCTGTAGAACACAACCCAACCCTATAAAAGTTCTCTGGAACATCACCCAGCTCAATAAAAGTTCTCTAGAACATCACCCAGCTCAATAATAGTTCTCTAGAACACAACCCAAAACAAAGAAAATGTTCTCTAGAACATCACCCAATTCAATAAAAAGCCCTCTAAAACATCACCGAGTTCAATAAAAGGTCCTCTAAAACACCACCCAGTTCAATGTAAGTTCTCAAGAATATCTCCCAGCGCAATGAAAGTTCTCAAGAACATCTCCCAGCACAATAAAGTTCTATAGAACATCGCCCAGCGCAATGAAAGTTCTCTAGAACATCTCCCAGCACAATAAAGTTCTAGAGAACATCGCCCAGCGCAATGAAAGTTCTCTAGAACATCTCCCAGCACAATAAAGTTCTATAGAACATCGCCCAGCGCAATGAAAGTTCTCTAGAACATCGCCAGCCTAATAAAAGTTCTATAGAACACAACCCAATTCATCCCAATAAAAGTTCTATAGAACACAACCCAATTCATCCCAATAAAAAATTCTCTAGAACATTACCCATCTCAATAAAATAAAATGAAAGTTCTCTAGAACATCGCCCAGCCTAATAAAAGTTCTATAGAACACAACCCAATTCATCCCAATAAAAGTTCTATAGAACACAACCCAATTCATCCCAATAAAAAATTCTCTAGAACATTACCCATCTCAATAAAAAAAAACATACACAGTTAAGGAAACAAGCCTGTGTGTGTGCATCAGTTTCTCATCCGAAGAATGGTGTGCGTCGGTTAAACAACTGTCATTTGGAATATGCACACATGGTTCAATTTTATTTCAATAAATCGTCTGCGCGTGAGGGGGGGGGGGGGTCTTTAGCAGTGTGAGGGGGGGGGGGGACCGGAGGACCCGGAGAAATCCATGAGGTTGGACAGGCGACCCCACTCTTTGTCACATACAGTCGGGGAATCGAAACCTGATTCCGTGACAGACCTTATGATGCGACGCGCACGCGTCACACATTCGACCACCCAACTCTCCCAGTAGACACGTTCATCAAGTGATTGGGTTTTATCTCTAATCGTAGTATGCAACGTGACACAGAGGGTTACAAGTTGGTAACATAACTTTAAATGTTTTTGGTCAAGGCATATTCCCTGGACTAATATCTCATATCGACCTATGTTGACCGCATGTCACACTTCACAGTCAGTTACCGGTGGACGACCAACACGTGTCCGGTCAATAATTACCTCTCACAATACGACCACCGGTTAATGAAATAGAAACTCAACACCTTTCTATATTCCCTCTTTAGAACTAGATACAAGTAACAAAATCTCAAGTGTTAGTTTATCTCCGGGTCAGAGGTCATCGTCTAATCACACTCTTTTTGTCACTTGAAAGGGAAAAGAAAGTAAATGTGTATTGAGGTTTTTGACATGTGGATTGGAAGCTGGTCGAATAGAATGAACAAAGATTGACCAAGGTAAATAAACGCTGCCCTCCTGTTTTATTTGTTGTCATTTTCTGCTCGATTCTAATCCCAATAAACTATTTTATCAGCATTCTTTTCATCCCGGTGACGCTTTATATATACACACATACAATATTTAATTAAATCTACTTTCGATTTCATGTTAATTACAAGTATATGGTAATTGTGTTATTTTTGGATTATCTTCCTTTGAACCGTTTTATATACAAATGAGAATCTCAATAAACTAGAAATTGCATGTTTATTGATATATTAATGGTATTATTTCTGGATATATCAGCCTTTATATACAATATTTAATTAAATCTACTTTCGATTCCATGTTAATTATATGTTCTTGGTATTATTTCTGGATATATCTCCCAGATTAAAATACATGTACCAGTCTTTATATACATACATACAATATTTAAGTAATTGTACTTTCGATTTCATGTTAATTATATTGATATGGATATATTTCCCCCCTTTAAACCGCTTTCTACACAAATTATAATCACAATAAAGGATATTCCAGTATTTATTTTATCCTAAATATTTTTACAACTCTACAATAAACTATAAAAATACTTATGGAAAACAGCTACTGATTTATTTAGGAGACGTTTCGAAGAGTATTAGCTTGAAAACGTTGAGAGAATACTCTTCGAAACGTCGCTTAAATAAATCAGTAGTTGTTTCCATAAGTATGTTTATAGTTTATTTATCTTCCCAGTTACTAAATGCCACTTAAAGAATTCTACAATAGTGATGTGATATTTTAACTTCGTAATTTTGGTATTTTTTTTCTTGTTTTATTCTTATTTTATATAATTTATAGATTATATTAATGTGAAATTTTAACCGTGTCTCGTCAGTCGTCATCGACTGGCGTCTACTTTTTACTTTTATATAACTATATGTATTAATATTTTAAAACATTTGTAGGCATGTTGATGGAGTGGTTAAGTTTTAAAAAAAAAATCTTGTTTTAAGATATTTTATAGATGATTTGGGTTTGGTTAGGATATCCACAAAATTATTTTTAAGTTTTACAAATTTTGCTGAAGCGGGTGGGGGTGGGACTTGAACGTCCTGACGGACGGTAAAGGGATATATTATTTTCAATACGAAAAAGACAAAAAAAGTTAAAATTATTCTTGAAATCTGGTTTATATATTTTATCTCTATCTTTTATCTATAAAATATCAATTCTAAACCCAAATAAACTATTTTATTGTAGTTTTTGTTCATTGTACACCAATTAATTATTCGAACCCCAATAAACATAATATTTATATTACTGCATTAACAGAATACTGTTGAGAGAATTCTCTTCGAATCGTCGCCTAAGTATACTAGTAATTGTTTTCCATAAATATGTGTTATAGTTTAATTAGTCTACCAAATTACTAAATGAAACTAGAATAGTATTTATTTTTTTTATCCACTTACTAAATACCTCGATAAGATTAAAAATCAAATTTTGTTCTTTTTTTTTAAAAAAAAATAATATATATATTCTAACCCTAAAAGTTTTGACACATAGAAAATCACTTTTGCGAACGACTGGAATGCGTCTTTAAATAAATAAATAATCAATAATTATTCTATAACTTTAACTGTATATCTAATGTAATTTAGTTAGTTGGCGCGGTGGTTAGAACGGCTTGTTACTCATTTATTTATCTTATTAATTTACATTGTTAAATTGGAACTTTCGTCGTCAAGAAACAAGTATATTATCATATTCTTGAAATATCAAAAGTAAATAACATAAACATATATGAAGCAAATTTATATAAGCTTTTAGTTTGTTTTTGTATCATATCTTTAAAACTGTAATGTATTATATGATATTTTATGAATAAATATTGTTAATCTAACCCTAAAGGTTATCGCGATACTTCTCTTGTTATCCTTCATACGACTTTATTTACGCATATTCAAATTATAAATCTACTTTCGATTTCATCCTAACTCATCTTTTAGATGACAATATTTTGTTTACACATTTTGACAGATTTCACATGAGAGAGAGAGAGAGAGAGAGAGGAGGGGAGAGTGAAATGGGGTTTAACGTCCACTCGACACAAACCAGATCATTTCTGGACTAACATATCGTTCAATTTTAGTTCAATAATTCGCTTGCGGTAGGGGTCTTTAGCATTGGGAGGAAACGGCGGGACCCGGAGAAAACCCACGAGGTTGGAAAGGCGGCACTACTCCTTGTCACATATCATTCGGCCATCCAACCCCCTTTCACATGTATGCATTATATTAACCTAAACATGCTTCAAATATAAAGATTTTAGATTTTAGTTAATGAAACGTTACCCTCCCACTTCGACTACAGCTTATAACAACAGATTATATGGTCTGGTGGTTTAATTATCCCTTCTTATCCCTACCCTCGTATTAATTTAAGTGTTAATTGGCTCCAGGATATTATGGAGTAGTAGTTCTTGTTGTTTAACGTCTGCTTCCACATAAGTGATATCGCAGACAAGGATATTATGGATTGTTTTAAGTAGTTTATATACAGTTATAATTATGCATGGAAAGATTGGATAGGGTTAACACCTATTTCCTATTTTTTGTAATCCAAAATATGAACTATTTTCTTTAATAAAATATGAACTATTTTCGTTAACAAAATATGAACTATTCTCTTTAACAAAATATGAACTATTCTCTTTAATAAAATATGAACTATTTTCTTTAATAAAATATGAACTATTTTCTTTAATAAAATATGAACTATTTTCTTTAACAAAATATGAACTATTTTCTTTAACAAAATATGAACTATTTTCTTTAATAAAATATGAACTATTTTCTTTAAAATATGAACTATTTTCTTTAAAATATGAACTATTTTCTTTAAGATATTAACTATTTTCTTTAAGATATTAACTATTTTCTTTAAAATATTAACTATTTTCTTTAAAATATTAACTATTTTCTTTAAAATATTAACTATTTTCTTTAAAATATTAACTATTTTAAGTATTTTTTATTTATCTGTAATATACGAATGTAAATGCTGGGTTTTTTTATTAAAAAGAAAATAATTTACCTTCTGGAAGATCTAGACTACTAATATCGGAAGTTGTAGCGGAAGGACTAGATTTAACACTACTGGTGCTGCTACCTGGTGTCGGTGGTGATCCACCTGATAATATCTTCTCAATACCTGAAACATATAGGCTTTTATAGTCTAACTCATTCTTCATAAAAATTAAAGGAGCTAAATCGGTAATATTTGGTACCTAGAAATTGAAACAACTGGGCCACAATGCATATAATGACATAATATGAATGTATATAAATTGATTTACATTCAATCGTTTCTGCTCTAATTTTTCAAATCATTTTTGTTCAGCGAAATACGCCAGAAGTCTCAATCGAATGGCAATCCCTAGCGTCTGGTTATTCGAGTCTACACAGAGAGTATTTATTGCGCATGCTTTCCATGGCTTCGCCATTCGATGACTTTGGGTGATATTGAGTTAGAGACTTGGTGACTGCATTTATTGTAAGATCATCTGTCCAACCTCGTGGGTTTCCCTTGGGTCTCCGGTTTCCGCGACTGCTAAGCACATTGCTGAAATAAAATTGAACAAAACGCCCCATACACTAAATATTTTCAAGTGAAAAGCAATACACCCAAACACTAAATGAATCTTTATGGACGTTCAACCTCGTTTCATTTATTCCGTCTACGTCTCAAACCGATAGGACGTTCAACTTCATTTCGTTCATTCCGCCTACGTCTCAGACCGTTGGACAGTCAACTCCATTTCATTAATTCCGCCTACGTCTCATACCTGTAGGACGTTCAACTCCATTTCATTCATCCCGTCTACCTACGTCTCAGACCGTAGGACGTTCAACTCCATTTCATTCATTCCGTCTACGTCTCAGACCGTAAGACGGTCAACTCCATTTCATTCATTCCGTCTACGTTTCAACTCCATTTTATTCATTCCGTCTAGGTCTCAGATACATTTTGTTAAGCGCATCTGTGCTGTGTTAATTTATGAAATCTAGTTTGTTGTTAAAACCCATCGACCAACCATGATGTATTACTATATATGATTATCAATAAATGATGTGGGGATTAAGTGGTTTTATCAATAGCCATATAGAAATCTCCATCTCTAACGTGTGTTTCATCAATATAGATAGAACTCAATGATCATTGAATACCGCTCAAAATACACTATACTATCCAGATTATCAAAAACAAATCGTCAACACTAACGTTAAAATTCATCACAGGTTTCGCCCTTTTTTGCATGTATTTATAGAATAAATCGAAATTTCAATAATCATATGATTTAATGTTTGAATAAATTGTTCGGAAACGCTGCTTTAATTATAGGTGGGAAAATAATGGCTAAATCCACTGATGGACGACAAGTTGATCTTTACCAGATTATTTCCTTGTTTACATAAATCCTTAATATACCCTTTCTAAACCTTTTATTACCCAAATATACACTTAATTAAATCTTTACATCGTTCACTTGTTCACAATGACCTTCTTATCATCGATACAACCATAATCCCATTTGTTTTGATTACTAATAAAAGACTGGATAAACAAATGTAATTAAACTCGAACAGTTTTAGCAGTCATCGATACAATTAAAATCCCGTTTGTTTTGATTACTAATAAAAGACTGGATAAACAAATGTAATTAAACTACTCGAACAGTTTTAGCATTCTAGTGTTATATAGTCATAATCTGGTACTATAATGACGGATTAAATACTCAGTGTATTTGACCTAATCGGATTATATTTTTACAATCGTTTCGTTTAAATTTCACTGCATTCACAAATTTTGTTGATTTCATTTGTGGTAAATTAAAATAAGAGATTGGTACAAATTGATACGGAACGAAATGATAATATTATTGATGACCTGAGGGAACAGTTGACCTTTAACCCTTTGTTAATAGCCAGACTATTAGGATAAACGTGATAACATCTAATCTAACTATAATTAGTTTTACCCACTTAAAGATGGCGGCCATTAGATAACGTGTATTGATCGGAATAAGTTGGCACCAGGATTTTCTGACCACGTTTGTTAGACACCCGAAATGTAAAGAAAACATATAATTGCAATTGAAACTTAAAGATTAGTGTCTCGTCGTTCGTTTATCCCATCGTCGCCTGTAAAACACTCTCTTAAACTTATTAAAGATACATTATGGGAGATTAGATAAAGAGATGGCAGTTCTCGCTATAATAGTTACAAACTAGATAATGTAAAGGGAATTTGCTGAAAATTTCAGTCAAATTGATCCACCCTGAACCGAGTATTTAGCGATTGAATTTTGGGCCTAGCCTCGATCATCATTACTAAAGTCGGCACGATAAAAGCATAGCCTCGATTATCCAGTTTTTGATTTAATCAGAAGCAGCAGACCGGGTTCTAATCCAGTAAATATCACAGGCTAGTGATGACATCGATAGTTGATTATTATCCAGATAAGTTAATTAATGTCTAATTAATAATTTAGATAACATTTCAGGCCTATAGAAAGACCTGCAATTGGCAGATTTAGCTCTAGCATAATGTATGTTTAACGGCTCAATACCACTCTTGTTGTAACTGAATAATATGTCCCAATCTTTATTCTGGTCAACAAATTGTACTATTTTACAATATTCCAATTAATTGATGATACAAATTTCATCTTACACACCTTATTTAAAAATTTTGAAAAATTCAACATAATGGTTTGAAACGTCTAACGTAAACCTTTTCAAATGAAACTTCGATTTAAAAATATTTTCTAACCCTCTGGACAAGTAAAATAGGATGTAATGGATAATTTACACAACAGGTAGGACACTTAAACATCTAGTACTTAGATAGAGATATTATTTATTTTCTGGAGCTTTCAAGCCAGCAAGAGTGTTATTGTCCTTTTAAAGCGTACGAGTCTTCAATAGCGGAACCCTAAAATCCTGTGATTGCCATGGTATTAAGCACAATATAAATAATAATAACGACAAGAGGATACGTGTTAAAACGTTACGCTATCAAAGTTGCTAATGGCTGTTATCCATAAAGCTGTGTTCGTGTTGTTTCAATATTTATCTAACGGTAATAACTTATTTATATTCTTGCCCAGCTATCAGTACCAGTTCCTTCATTCGATTTTTAAGGCTCGGCGATTGTAGAAATGTATACTTTATTAGTCCCATCCGAACGACTAGACAGCTGTCCTTGTCGGGTCCTCCGTCCTGCATCTCTGACAAGGGGAAACCACATCTGAAAATTCCAATGAACTTTCTCGGCCAATGCAGGGATCGAACACGCGACTTCCAGACTTGTGAGCTAGCGTCTTATCCACTTAGCCACCGTGGCTCCATTTTTTTCAAGCAATGTCGTTAGCTATAACATATTTAACGAACAGTCAACATGATATTTATTTACAATCTTATTTAATTAGATAAATATATAATTGAATGGGGATGATTAATTTCGATTGACATTTTAATAAAACCTGTAAATTAAATTGAAAAATACAACAATATCCAGGTATATGGGGACAATTATAATGTAAACAATGTGTTTTCGTAATGGAATGAATCAATCGATTAGTATCGAAAATAATTTAACTGATTTAGAATTGCTAAAAGTTTTTTTTAAAAACAAAAAACCAATAAGTGTCTAATTAATAATTTAGATAAAATTTCAGGCCTAAAGAAAGACCTACAATAGGCAAATTTAGCTCTTGCATAATGTATGTTAAATAATTTAGATAACATTTCATGCCTAAAGAAAGACCTGCAATAGGCAGATTTAGCTCCTGCATAATGTATGTTTAATATGATTAATACAATGACATCATTATTAATGTGACGTCATAATGCATGTTTAATCATTTATTGCTAGAACTGAACGAACAATTAGAAAAAGTGACTTTGATCGCCAATAAGATATTATTCAAGTAATAATAATATATTAATCGATTATTTTTAATCTGAAGTAAGAAACAGGAAATCCCCACACCCCCAGCCCCCTAAAAAAAAAACACCAAAAAACAAAAATCACAAAACAAAACAATATGATACTTACCATGAGTAAGATCTCCAATACGAAGACAAGAAAGGGCGTGTCCCAGACACTGATCACCAGCCTTGCTCTTGGTGTAGCCGTATAATATCATGTCCACCTCATCTTGACTGAAACCGAATCCTGGGAAGGGTGGAGGTAGCGGGGGTACCCTGGGACTCATCATATTCTGTTGTATTGCTGGGTGTGGCATCGGTACACCTGGAAACACGGGGGAATTAAAGGATATCATCTGATGCTGAGGCTGAGGTGTGAAACGAAATCTGAAATAAGAATTTAATTTTATATCCTTACATGACATTAACAAGTAATAAATATAGTTTATTCCAGTGAGTGAGTAGGTCTGGGAAACCATAGTTACAAAATAAAAGACAAGTATGTACAGTAGTGATTTAAAGAAAAAACAAGAGAGAGAGGGGGGGGCGGGTGACAGAAATGGGGTTTAACGTCCACTCGACAGAAACTAAGTCATTTCGGGACTAACGTATGGTTTAATTTTATTTCAATAATTCGCTTGCGCGTAGGGGTCTTTAGCAGTGGGAGAAAACCGGGGGACCCGGAGAAAACCCACGAAGTTGGAAAGGCGACACTACTCCTTGTCACGTACAACCGGGGAATCGAAACCCCGCCAGTTGACTCAATGACAGACTTTATGATACAACGTGAACACGCTACCCATTCAGCCATCCACCCCACCCCCACCCCCACCCAAAAGAAAAACGAAACGAGTAGACATATAAATATAAATAATATATATTCAAGTAGATAAAGCACAAGTACTTCTATGTTTACGGTACATAAATGAATAATAAATAAAAAATATGTCCAGGTAAAAACTCCAACACTTTACTTCAAATATATATACATAAGTAGAATTCTAAATATAGTTTGATCTATAAATTAAAACGGAAATAATAAAATGTGAAATTGAAATTAAATTAATTTATTTTTAGTTATACAAGTAGTGGTATAACATTATTATGTATATATCTGTAAACGTATTGAAACGTTGTATAAAAAAACCCTAAGAAATGGTTGCTTGATACAGATACATGTATGAATATTGAAACTTTGTATGAAATAAAGCTAGGAGTGAGTAAATACATAAAGCTGTGTTTATATTAATGACATTTAATTGGTCGCATTATTTCTGTTACGTCCTTTTTGTAAATCATTTTTTTTTCATTTTTAGTGAAGCCGTAACTATAACAGGCCCGGGACTGTACAGCGCAGTGGACGCTTGCGGCTGCTGGCCGCCGGATCAATTCAATTGATTTGATATTTGTTTATTTGGTGCAATGTCTATTTTCTGTCTTGTTCGCAGGTTTATCTTGTAGATTTTTGTTTTGTCGGTAGTGCGGTCCCCTTGCACTTACTACTAAAGATAATAAATACAAAAACATAAAATGGAACACAATTATTATTTTCATTATCATTTGCTTGATAACGTCGAAAGAACTCTCGATGAAACGTTACTTTAATTAAAATGGCAGTTGTGTTCCATATAATGTTTTTGTGTTTATTAGGTGTGTCAATTATTCAATTACTCAAAGAAGATATTACGGTTTTTTATTTTATATTTAACTCAGTTGTCGTATCTATATCTATACTAATTTCAATACCAATACATTAACACAGTCATCGTAATGTTATGAAAATAAACACGACTATACCTCTTATACAATAATCTTTTTTCTTTTAAATGCATTTAATAAAATTTAATAATATTTAACTTGCAACTGCATTAAATATCTTATTTTGTATGTAATTATAGTGTTATTCCTATATTCTACGTGTATAATGTATATGTTTTGTAGTTTAGGAGTGACTTCCCAAACTTCCTACTGTAAAATGCTATTGCATTTCAAATGATTTTGTATTTATCCTGATATTACATGTATATATGTGTTTGTAGCTTAGGAGGGACTTATGGAAGATTAGTTGTTTTTTTTACAAACTAAATAAGTTGCCTCATTAAATAAAGTTATTAGTATTATTATAATAACTGGATAGAGCAATACACTATAACGCTTGATAAAGGCCAGAGAACCCTCGTCGAAACGTCGCTGTAATAAATCCTTTAAGTAACTTGTATTCCATATAATTGTGTCATGTGTTAATCTTTTATCTTTTAAAGATATTTAGTGGATAGAGCAATGGACTATAACACATACTTATGGAAAAACAGCTACTGATTTATTTAAGCGACGTTTCGAAGAGTATTCTCTCTTAATATAGGATAGTGTACACATTTAATTTAATTCGATCTACAGCTTCTATAACCGCTTATATTACACAAAGTAATTTAAAATATCTAATTTTGTTTTGCCATGAATCAGTGTATCAGCATTCATCGTTTTATGTGAAGATTAAACGAGTCTGGTTTATATAAACGTTATTTCACCCACAAATTTCAAATAAAATATAAAATAATTTGTGTTCATTTTATTAAAAACTCTAAATATTTTCTAAATATAGTATTTTATAGGAATTTTTTTGAGTGGCATTTAGTAATTGAACACTAAATACTATTTATGGAACAACAACATCTTCAAATCGTCGAATGTTAAAAAAAACCCCAAAAAACCCCCCAAAAAACATAACAATTATTCCATGTATCTTTTCATTTTAATTATTTATTTTTTCATTAAACACATTCATATCTATATTTTATTTATTCTATTTTTTTTTCAAAAAACAAAACGTGATATTTATTTTTATTTTTAATAAAACTTGTGATATTTGTTTTTATATTAAAATACTCTGTGATATTTGTTTTGATTTATGCAGATATATGCACATCTCCATAATAATATAAGGATGATATGTCTATACTTATCAGTCTCTATACTATATGGGGGGCTGGAACTAAATACGAGAACAACTGGTCAGGTTTCTAATAAGTTTATATCATTACACATGAAAGAAATAAAAAAAACCCATCAAATATATAAATGAAAATAAAATAATAATTGATAATATCCGTAAATAGTTCTTTATTTCATAGTTTAAACGTTAATAGTTTCTATAATTCATAGTTCAAACGTAAATAGATTCTATATTTTATATTTCCAGCGTATAATTATTATTTCAATTATTATTTCATTTATATTTAATGTTTTATATTTCTAACGTTTTTAATGTTGTAAACTTATTAGAAACCTGACCAGTTGTTCCTACTTTTAGTTCCAGCCCCCCATATAGTATAAAGACTGGATATTAGACAGAGATCATCCTTATATTAATATGGACTACCAGACTAATGAACCAGATTGTGAAATCAGAGGGCAAGTATATCAGAGTTAGCAACAATTTGAATTTTTTTTAATGTGATGCAGAGATAAATTGTAATTGATTGTTATTTTTGTTGCGTATTCTGTATATATTTGTCTACTATTCACATACCTGTATCATTTGCTTGATAAAGACGAGATTATCCTCGTAGAAACATCGCTTAGTATCAAACTTAGTAATTGTATATCCATAAAACTGTACCTTGTGTTAATATGTTCAATTACTAAATGTCAATCAAAGTAGATATATACAAATAGTTTGTCTGATTCAAATTTCACCATATATTTGGCGTATTATAGACCGATTGGAGATGACGTGCCATAACATTTCATTTATTTTCATTTAATATTTTAGAAGTGGAGTCTCGAAGACGTTATAATGAAACCACGCCAATTGACTCAATGTCAGACCTTATGATACAACGCGCCATCGGATTATACGGCAGCTAATCTTGACTTTTTACAGATTCAGGACACTGAATTTTGAGTTAGACTACCCCGGGTTCGATTTTCGTCAAGTCCGACCCTTACTTAATCGATCGGATTAGTTGTTTAGATAGGACAAAAAATCCCCCGATGTCCACCCGTGCACCATTTCACGTAAAATGACCCCCCCCCCCCCCTCACCGCCCCGTCGCCCTTGAAATGTTGGAAACTGAAGATAAAAAGACGGAAACGTCACGGTCCGGGCAAAATTATCAACCGCAACAACAGTAAATGCATGTCCATAGATTTCGTTCAGATGTGACGATGGCAATCCGCGTACACAGTGGCGTCCACGTAAGATAACACCTCCCCACCTCTAACAGTTAGAAATCGACGACGAGTAGACCGTCCGGTAAACTTTGTATCGAGAAAAATTAATAATCTATTAGCAACTTTATTAATATGTTATACTTTTTATCATCACACGCATAGTCCACTAGAAAAAAACACCAAGGACATCTTAAAATCCAATAATATGTAATAAAGAAATTTTATCTTGTATGTTAATTACATCAAATATCGAGAAGAACGATTCCTATCTTAAAGTTACAAATACATTTTAAGGAAAAATCAATTGTACTTGAAAACGATAAATGAACACTTGTTGAAATGTCGTGTTATATCTGTAACAATTGGTCACGTATCAAATGAAATAAAATGGGGTTTAACGTCCTACTTTTCTGCAACGTCTGGGATAATCCGGACAGGGTATACGCTATGTAATGTGTTAAAGGGGATCATTTGAAGGACATCGGAGCTACGGCCTACTCTTATTTCGATATCCAGCTTTTAAGGTTTCTTTTACGTGCACACCAATGTTTACACGGTATACTTGTCAAAATGTCGTGCCACATTTGTCACAAACCATTGCTGTTACTGTTTATTACAAAATTAAGGTTCAATACATGGACAGGTTGATTTAAATAAAGTTATTTACATATGAATGAGTAATATGGGTAAAGCACTTGTATATCAAAAGAGGGGTTGGGTGGCCGAATGGTTAACACGTGCGCGTTGCATCATAAGGTCTGTCATTGAGTCTACTGGCGGGGTTTCGATTCCCCGATTGTACGTCGCCTGTTCAGCTTCGTGAGTTTTCTCTGGGTCCTCCGGTTTCCTCTCACTCCTAAAGACCCCTACGTGCAAGCGAATTATTGAAATAAAATTCAACCATTTGTTAGTTCCAAAATGACCTAGTTTGTGTCGAATGAACGTTAAACCCCATTTCTCTCTGTATATCAAAAAGTCACTTTAAAACACAGTTTTAAAATCGCTGTCGTGAAAGGAGAGGGCGCGTCATCTTCTCACTGTGTGACTGTTTTCAATATAAAGTGTGTTTTTATTTTCCCAATCATTAATTAACATCCAATGATATTAATATGTTGAC